GGTGTCTGGCTCATTCCACTTAGAAAACCGTCCTAAGAATCTAGTGAAAAACCTTTTAAAGAGAACTTTCTTTTTAAGTAACACTTCACAAAATATTTAAATTTTCAATGCTTTCTCTCTATAGAGAAAGAATGTTGACTCCTTGGTCTCTATATATTAGTATAGGTCTCATAAAGATTCTCAAAAAATTTAAGAATAAACAGATGGTAAACCTGAAACTAATAAACAACGATAGTTAGAGAGCTGAATAATGATTTTCATCAACATTAAAAGGATGATTTAAAAATCACTTTAGTTTAAAAAGATGAATTAGATCACTTGTACTGATGGAGGAGGGGAGGTTTAGCACTGAAATGCCAGAGCTGACCCATCCTCAAGGGCAATGTGTGTCATAAAGCATATTCAGGTACCCACTAGATGTGCCTCTGAAACTCAGCTTACAGAATTCCTATTTTCTCCTACCAGCCTTTAATTACATGAGAGAACAAGCTCCATCTTGATATTTGATTGTAAACAATGGATGCAGTTCATTTACATAAGCTTTAAGTAAAATATGTAAATTTTATGTTTTCTGAATTAATAATATAAAAGGTATGTTCAGATACTTATAATCAGATATCTTTGAGTGGAATCTGATCTACTAAATAGGGTCTTCTTTATTTTAAGCTTACTGAATCTGCCTTTTAATATACACTAAAGTATGCAAAATGAATATTTTCTACCTTCATGGGGAACAAGAATCAGAAAAATGGTACCTATGAACTACCCCACATGAACAACTTTAGATTATTGTTATTGAAGATATCTGAGCTTTATCAGTGGTGATTCATTTATATATATACACTACACTTGGCTCATTTTCCTGGTAATGACTGTAGAAAAAAAATTAGACTAAGAGACTGCTGTGCTCTAAACCCAGTTCTGATTAACTTACAGTACCACAGGGTTTCCATTTTCTCATCTGCAAAACAGCAGTGTTGGGGGGTGGTCTCTGAGGTTTCTCTCACCCCAACCCTCGTGTAGTCCATGCACCTGATTCTGAGCATGGCCAGAGATGGGCAGCGCCTCCCACTGTCTGAGCTTGGGTTTCCCACAACACGTGCTTCCCCATTCTGGAGCATGTCACACCCTGTAAACTCGGCTTGTAACAGTCTCCTTATCTTAACCTGTTGAAATCTGACTCATTCATAAAGGTCTGGCTTGAAGGCCAATGTTTCTTTGAAGTCTTCCAAACCCCTAAGTATGAAACTGACCATTTTTTCCCATGACCATCCAAATGATTTGTTTACATATTTTAAAATATCTATCGTATACCTATTTCTACATCTTTCTATGAATACACTTCATCTCTCCTCTTAAATTGTAAGTGCCTCAGAATAAGTCTCATTTGCTGATAATGTGCAGACAGCCATTCCCACTCTCCATACTAGTCCAGTCCCCATTGTTCCCCCCCCTCCCCCGCCTTCTGCTTAAGAAGATGTTTGTACTTCTCTTTTACTCCTGAATGGCTCTGACACCTGCCTTCCTAAGGCAGGTCCCAGGCTCAAACTTCACCACTCCGTGCATCCAGGGAGGCACCACAAATAGGGTAAAAACCACAATTCCCCTCCCCCGCCTTCTGCTTAAGAAGATGTTTGTACTTCTCTTTTACTCCTGAATGGCTCTGACACCTGCCTTCCTAAGGCAGGTCCCAGGCTCAAACTTCACCACTCCGTGCATCCAGGGAGGCACCACAAATAGGGTAAAAACCACAATTTGGGTAATTTTGAAGATCTGTTTGCTTGTGGTAATCACAGGAGCCATGAGGATCATCTAGGGCCACAGGTGACCATACAATTAGTTATCTAAACACGGATGCTTTTAGAAGTTAAAGGAGAACTGTAATAATTATGCTCAGAAAACAAGTGTACAAGCAGGGTCATCTGGGAAAGTTGGGATGTGCGGCCGCTCTATGCAAGGGCATCTTTCCTAGCTTCTGTACCAGCTTACATATTGTTCATGTTTCCATGATCAGTTCCTTCTCTGCATTCTCCTTTTCACAAGGAAATGGGCATGTTTCTGATATACTAGTTTATTAGTAAGACTCTAGACACTGAAAAGTAATCACAATCTTGATAGCATAAGTACAAATCTGTATACTCTTAGGAGCCCCTACAGTCCTGTCCTCGCTGGAGGGCAAGCTTCAGCAAGGTGGTCTGGCAATGGAACTGTAGGCCTGGGAGGGATTTCTCAAACTACCCTTACTTCTCATTTGGAGTCTTCAAATTGTAAATGGGAAGCGAACAAAATGAAATAAGATCTTATTTCCAAGGTTAAGTTGGTTAAGCTCAACATAACATTACAAAAATAAAGAGTTCTGTTTAAAGCTACAGGCTGTATAAGACCTTTGTACATTTCCCATCAGTATTTATTCTTTTAGCTAGTTTTAATAAATTGTCACAAGGTGAGAAACATTAAGTCACTAAAAATGGGACTGTAAAATATTATAAGTTATAATACCACTGTCACAAAATTGCAATTTTTAAAATTCAAATTACAATAATTTGAATTTAATGTTAAATATTTCATTGTTGAGTTAAATGGAATTCAGAACAAATCAGTAAAGCTAAGGGTATAATGCAGCATAGCTACTTCAAGTAAATGTTAAATAAGAGTAAATTAACACTAAAAAAATTTAAACAAGTTAATACATTCTATCTTATCACTTCTACAACAATACAACTCTAAAGCTATATGCAAGTAAGAGCTACATAATAAGTGTTATCTCTCACCAGTCCAGGGAGAAGAAGGGTAGGGACACAAGGAACACTGAGTGATTCCTGAGCTAAATGCCATGGAGGGTGCAGTGAAGGTTGCTGGCATTATGAGGCTCTTTAACACAGACCTTGAGAACCAGCCCCAGCGGCACGGCTGCTCTGGGTTGGCACTCAGTCCCTGAACTAGGTCCTGGGCACCAACCTCACCCAGTCCATCCTGTTGTCACTGACACGGGGCACCCCACCCCACAGTACCTGGATGTTCCCCTTAAGTACATCACCATGAGGAAATACCATGACTGCCACAGAAATCAGTGAGGCACCACACTAGACTGGGTCAGCGAAATAGGTCTGCAAAATGTGTAATGATTCCATTTGTGGCTTAAGCTTAAAAAGCATTTACAAATATCAACTACGTCTTTTGGTTTGCTCTCATAGAACATAAAGGGCAGTAACACATGAAACAAACAAGGTAGCCTGGGTCAGAGCATCAAAGAGCTCCTCAGACTTTTTCATTTTTACCTCTTGGTCCTATCAGTCCATTTTTCTCCCCTAAAGGAACCTCAGCACCTGCACCCTATGTTTTGTTGCTCAGCGGCCTCCATCACCTTCTAGTAGACTGGACGGCTCCCCGGGCACAGGGCACCCCGTTCCCCTTGGTGGCCCCGCACGTGGCTCCCCCACCTGTCCATCCGGTTCACTGGCCCTGACCACCCTTCTCTCTGCAGGCTGATGGCCACTCTCTGTGGCTTGCCTCCAGTGGGCAGTGTTCAGTCTGTCCTATCTGTGACATCGCCATGAACTCAAAGATGGAAAGCAGGGAATAAGAAGCATCTGCTACATGTGGCTCCTGCACAGAAACCCAGGGAAAAGTTCAAGCATCATTTTCTTAAGGTAATGAACTGATATGCTGTTTAAAACTTTGCATTCTTATGACTTGTATTTCCAGATCTTATTGCTTAAGAAGTGAAAAAGAACCATGGTATCTTCATGGTCAAGTACAGTACACCATGGCCAAGTACCTAACAGTATCCCATGGTCAAGTCAGTTTGTGAAACAGGGCATACTGTATCTGCCACCCTCTCGGGACCTCACTGTGCCAGAAATAAAAGGCCCTGGCGAGTCGCACAGTAAAGACATCTGGTTAATTTTATGCAAACCAGTATTTTCCCAAATTATTTTATTATGGGACCCTTTTTCCCATGCAGTGTTTACTCACATCCCTGAAGTGTTTTCCTTTCCTTTGAATTGTATAAGTCCCTCAGAACTGCAGCTTCCAGATCTATTTATAGAACAGTTAAAAATATTTCTGTTAAAGCTTATGGCTGTCAATTCTGTTTTGGTTCTGACCACAGTAAGCTATGTCAGAGGAAGTCTAGTGTTCTGTGGTCTGAATTCATGCTTTTAGCGTGGAGGTGATGGTGGGTGAGGCCTCTAACCTCTCAGCTCCCTGAAGAGTACCAGCTGACCACCCGGCCCCTGTAGTGGGGAGTGCCTGACACCACCCTTAACCCTGGCAGGCTGGAGAGCATGTGCCAGCACAGGGCGAGTTCCGACAGCTTCAGCTACATCAGGAGCTTGGGACAGGGTTGTTTACTCACTGTTATCTCTTAGAATTATGGTAGATCAAAAATACAATAAGAGCAAGATGTGATTAATAAAGTGCAAGATACACCTGAAGTGCAAAAATGTAATATTCTAGGTGTCCTGAGGATACCTCATTAATGTTAAGCTGATACAAATTATAGGTGTCGCAAAGCAGCTGCTGTAAGGAAAGAAAACATCACACAGTGCAGAAGTCATGTGATGGAAGTGCCTGCCCTATGGTTCTTAAAACTTATTTTAGAAAAAAATAAATCCCCTACTTATCAGTTTGAAAAATGAAAAAATAAAAGTGAGTGAATCAATGGCTCATTGTATAGGAAGATAAAGAAAAAAAAGATTCTTTACAATGCACATGCAGAAAATAGTGTATGCTTTAGAAATCAAATCAGATATATTCTTGAAAAGCTAATTACTATTTAATCCAACTGAGGGAAGTGTTTCTAAATCCTGCTTTCTAAAACAACAACAAAACACTAAACTTTTTCAAATACAGCAAGTCAGAGGAATAATTTTTCCAACCTAGGTAAATGAAGAATGAAATAGGAAAGCACCCCTTAGTGAGTGATCCTAAATACATCTGGTGTGTTGTCCTAAGACACCTGTCTCACCTGGTTCCATAAAGTACAAAGACAGGCTCACCATGTCATAGGTTGTCACAATCTTCTTCAGCACCTCTGGCACAATTCCCTGCAACTCCATCGTGGGATACTGCTCGCTGAGATTCAGGACCACCAGGGGTGTGTTATCAGGCCCCAGAAAGCGGGGAGACACTGCCAGCATGCACTGCATGAGATTGGCCACGGAGGAGAGGCCGCACAGTTCCTTGAACGACACCACTGCATTCTATTAGATGGAAGAAAGGAGGCGCTGTAATTAACCAGGGGTTAATATCTCATGGATATTATACTTGATTAGTTGACTATATTTGAACTGCCTGGTACAACAGCTATTAGAGATGTTATGCCAGAATTGGCTAACGATGTTTATCTTGGGGGAAAATGGCTATTTTCCAAAGTAAATAGAGTAATAGACATTTGTAATACCAGTTTATCAAAAGTACAGAAAATGCAAATAAGTTAAATTCTTCTGAAGGACAAAGCTTGTTTTCAGATCAAAGTTCACAGCAGTGCTAATGCTCACATGTGATTATGAGCAAGCAGCAAGAATGGCTTCTGCACTCAAGGAAGATTAAGCAAAATAATCAAATTGGGTTTAAAGTGAGTATCCAATATGCCAGCCATTTAAAAAGGAAACCAGTATTTGTGAGGCAGAAATCTGAGTCTCTCCCACCTTTACAGCCTGCTGCTTCCAAGTCTGAAGGGACTCTGAGGATCCTGGGTCTGCTGGGAGGCCTGACCCCCCATGGCCTTGTACATTAGCATCTGCATGGATCCCTATTCCCTCTCTTCCGAATCACCAGAAGTATGACATTAAAACATCCATTCATGAAAACCCTTCAGCAAAATGCCATGCTTGGCATTCTTTGAGTACTCACCAAGTGCTAAGCTACAGCATATTTATTACACATTACCCTATTTAATCCTCTCAACGAGGAAACAGCCTCAGCTATTGCTCCTCTCTGCTGTGTGTGTCTAAGGTCACACAGTGCTAAGTGAAAGAGTCAAGATTTTACTTGAAATCTGTTGATGCTGAGGCCTGGGCTTTTAATCATTATGCTGTAATAAGAGGTAAATTCTAACCAAACAATGCATCATTCCAGGCACACTAGGTGCTGATCTGGGCTGAGAATGGGATCAGAGGGGAGGGATCTAGGCTTTCCAGGCCCTGTGTCTTCTGCTCTCAAATATTCCAGTTCTTGGAAACTGGCAGAACTTTAGTTTTAAATTTAAACATTTACTTTTCATTCATATTGCTTTAAACATGGACATCAAACTGTATGTCATTTTACTCAAAGCCTTGGTTGTTGACTGCTTAGGATGATAAATCTTTACTGTGGTGTCTGGAATGGGCCGTCCAGTCATCTGCCATGCCTCCCTGTCTTACTGCTGCACACCTCTGGCTACGTCCGTCGTTGCCCTACCTGTCCATTCCCTGCCGCTCTTCTCCCCCACCCAGCTAAAGTCATGTGCTTGTTCACTGCTGCATCCTCACGGCCCAGATGCCTGTGCAGCAGGTGCTAATGAAACATCACAGCCAGCTGCTCTGTGGGGCTCCGCACAGATGCGTGGTGCTCCGGAGGGTCCTCAGCGAGTTCTGTGTCACATGCACACCCATCACTGGGGCAGGGCCACTGGGGAGCTTGCTGGAAGCTGAGGGTGTACAAACCATTTTCACCTCAGAATAGGGAACAGCTTTTCACATTTCTGCTATGGTTTTACTTCGAGAGAAAGAGAAAAAATTTCTCTGTGGTGGGATGGTCTGTTTATTAATGGGGTAAACACAGACTTGGTAGAGGGGTGACATGTTGAGTCTTCTCATAACTGCTTTATGCATATAAATAAACACATTCTGGCAGCTGTCATGCAGCTGGCACCTCTCACACCCTGGGCCGGGTTAGGGTGGCTTCTCTTGGCTGCTTAGGGTGGCCCTTGCTGCTGGCTCTGTATCGTTCATGGGCCCTGGTATGCTGCTGGGTATGTGGACAGTCCTCACATATATAAACCCTAATTGATTGCTTTTAGTCATTATATAGTTCACAGATAATTATTATCTTAGACTTCTAATAAATACAGATACCACATGTCTTTTGTTTAAACAATGAAATAGCTGTCCACTAAAATCTAGAGGAGGTTCAGAATGCAAGCACAATGGCTCATTAAGTGCTCGCTCTTTTCCCAGCACTACAGCTCCATAAGAAAGGCCTAGAACGTGTCCCTTTTATTTTGATAGGTCATCAATTTGTATTTCAGCTTCAAAATATTCAGAAAAACCTGAGATTCCCATGTACAGTATTAGCAAAAGCGGGAAAGTTTTGTGCATAATTAACAGGGACTAGGATGTGAAACAGAAACAAGACTGGTTTATTCTAGTATGGTATCAGTATTCAGTATCAGCTGCACTTTTGGAAACTTAAATGATAAAAAAAATGACACTAGTGGTAACTAATACCCAATTAGAATTTACAGATCATTTAAAATCAAATAAACTATCATAAAGAAAAGCCCTCTGATATCTTCATAAGCTGTGCACATGCATTAAGAAGGAGAATTGCTGATTAAACACTTAAACACAATAACAGTACCTGCATGTTCTCTCGCAGGTCTGTAGCATCCCGTATGGGGGGCTGGGCGTTCTTGAATACCTCATCTACAGTTTTAATCCACAATGTCCTCAAAGATGCATATTCCCTGGATTTCTTCCCTTTTCTCACAGAAAGGCCCCTTTTATGAGGTTTCCCTCCTCCTCTTCGGTTAGTAATAGCCACATGCACAAACAAAGAGGCGTGCGCGAGGACCTCTCCCGTCAGTGACTGCAGGGGCACGTGGCGGTAGCCCGTCTGTAAACATTCAAAGGGAATCGTGTACTGGCCAATAAACTCATCTCCAATGTAGTCATCATCGAGCACTACAAAGCGCACCATGGCCAGTTCAGGTAGGTTGATTTGAAATTCAAAGCTTTCATCAAAAATAGGAGCATCTCCGTTCTGGTGCACTGTTTTTGTCCTTTGTTCTGCACAGTCAGCAGGGATTCCGTGAATCTCAACATAGACGTAAGGATCCACCACGTCACCTTTGGCACCAGATCCTTTGGGTTTGGGGAAGTTCTGGCCGCTGATGATTTTAATGTGAAGAAGCTGAGGTGACACTCCTGGGACAGAGTCTTTTGTATTGGCGCTGAAGAAAGAAACTTCCTCCCTCATGATGGCCGGCCGAAGGACATAGCCGCAGTTCCCGTTCTGCCTAAACCAGCCAATATTCAGGTCCATCATCAATCCTGGGGTCTGAAAGTTCATGGCCACGATCTGACAGCCACATTTCCAAAAATCTTGAGGGTTCATGTTACTGGAGTCGATCCTCATTGGGCTGGGGAAAACCCTGGCAAGAAAGCGTTTGTTGTAGTTTACAAAGTCCCCTGGATTCTCATTGGCGTATTTGCTGGCAAGCACTTCATTAAATGAACAGACTTCCCAGTATTTCTGAATCTGAAATGACACCTGAAATTCTTTGAACTGAACTGACTTACAGATGCTCACCAGCTCAGACAGCTCTTTGCAGAGCTGAAACCGTTTCACAGGCACACTGTGGGGCAGCTCCGTATTCTCCTTGCCCATCCTCTGGGACATTTCTGCTCCTTCGTCTTCATCTGTAACATCGCCTTCTACTCCAGAGCAACTGGAGGACAGCTTCTTTGCTTTAATTAGTATCTTCCCTCTCAGGACATCTGGGGATGGTAGATACGATTCCTCAGCATTGGGTGATGTTGTATAGAGCTTGTCTCCTAAAATTTTCTTCATGTGTTGAACCATCACCTTCTGTTGTTTAACAGAACAGTGATTTTCTAAACACAAGATAAGAGGATACTCTGAAGCAAAGAATGCATACTTGTTAATGATATCGATGACACTGCGGAAGACTATCTGAGAGGTCATGGTGTGGCCCGTGTAAATAACAGGCTCATTATCTGGCCCATCCCATACATCTAACTCAACACTCCGGCAACCCATCTTAAGGGCTCGAATGTATCCTGTGATATCAGAGGGGCCTCGGAACTGATCCTCTATTAAGTATGTATTATGAGATGAGTTTATAAAGTAGTGAGACAAAGGTTGCTTCATATCCTGACAGACCTTCTTATGTTCAGGGTCAAATATGTAACAGTCAGGTGACATGAGATAATTAGTGAACCCGTCTATGGAGAGCCAGCCCTTCTCCTGACCCTCTTTGGATGGCTCATATTTGTGAATGATTTCAAGACTTATTTCCTCCTTTATATGTGCCACACCCTGCTCAGCCTCAAGAAACATCATAAGGTCCTTGGTATCGAGGAATTCTTTATTGCTTGAAAACTGAACTAAGAGGAAATAAATTTCAGGTCTGGTACAAAGCTCATGGAAAACCTCAACAAATTCTTCCTTGGTGACTTCTGTACCAGCCTTTTCCTTGGATTTGTGCAATTCTTTGAACTTAAGCTCAATTTTACTAGTTTTTAAACCGGGATTGAGGTTTCTGATACACTGCACAGCATTGCACAGAGTTATATGTCCAAGGTTATCTACATCAATTCCACTAAACATTTGGGAAACCCAAGAAGTCCTCATGTTATCTTGGCTACTTTCTAACATATCAAGTGTATGTTTTCCATAAGAAATTAGGTACCGCAGTCCCGTGACCCAGATGTTTGCAACATCTGCAGAGTTGGCCACCAAATCAAGTGACTCATAATTCTCTCCATATATGACTGAAAATGCACAGTCTTCAGATATCTGGTCAGAAATGCCATTGCTGCGGAATATGTCTGTGTTTTTTCCTGTTCTCACTTCCTTGATGGATTTAATATCAATCTTGGCTTTCTCAGAATCCTTCTTAGACGGTTCCCACCTCAGGCTTTGCATGTCGGCATCCAGTAAAAAATACCTATGGTAAATTCTAGAGTTGGAGCGAACCTTTTTGAGTTCTGAGCCCTCAACCATGGAGCTGATGCAGTCGCTTGCACTGCTGACCTTCTTCTCCGTTGGCATGCTGCTGAATGAGACAGTCTTTTTCCGTTCTCGCTTCTGTTTTGTACCATCCTAGGCGAGAAAAACAGTGTTTTAGAACAGCATAAACACAGGTTTCTGTGTTGAACACTAAGAATAAAAACTTAAGTTCCTTGAAAAAAAGTCTTCCTATTAGAATTTCCTATTGTATATCCTATGGTGATTGAAATTAATTCACTTGTAAAGCTTAGAAATGGCCTTGGTATTTATAGCTTAATACAAACAGGTAGAAAATCATTATTGCCAAACTGCAATCCATACGTGTCAAGAAACACAACTTCAGTAACACAATAAAATCTTGGATAGAGAACTGGCTACATAATTTGCAAGGTTCAGAGATAAATGAAAATGTAGGACTCCTTGATCAAAACTTATTAAGAATTTCAAGAAGGTGACAGAATACCATGAAGCCAAGGACAGGGCCCTTCTGAGTGTGAGGCTTATATAACTAGACAGGTCATACACGCATGAAGCCAGCCCTGCTTGTACACACATCTACACTGCTGTTTCTCAGGATTTCACTAAATCATTTGCCTCAGAATTGCCTGGGTTACCTGGTTAAATGCAGATGCCTAGGCTCTTGAAATCGGATTTCCAGGGGGCAGTGCTCAGGAATTTGCATTTCTGACAACACTCTAGGTGATGGGGATGTACACTAAAGTCTGAAAACCACTTCCTGACTGCTTGGACTCACTGAGATATCTGGGCAACTTCTGGAGACTGTGTATACCAAATGACCAGAAACAGCTAAGTAGGAGCCATTAAATTGTGTGTTAAATGAGTAGACAATGGAGTCCCGGCAGAAATTCCTCACTCTTCAGAGTCTGCTGTTAGATTAGCCATGGTACTAAATACTTCAAAGAGATATGGTCCAACTCTTGCAGTTACATTAAGTCTGGGTGGGAGACCTAGTTACAGCTGGAGGCGCTTCCAAATTCCAGAGCTGGATTTACTAAAGCCTACTACCATATACCAGGCCAATGCTCAGAACAATGTCACCTGTACTTCCAGTATGAACAGATTATTAACACTAAAACTTCAGGCAGCATCTACTTCTAAAGAAGTTTGCATCACCAATACACACTTTCCTGCATAATGCAGCAGGTGTTCACTTTAAGATGTTGACACCACATCCATGTGTGTATTTAAGTTCTTTCTCTGTATAGATGACCTTATTATTGAAAAAATATATTGTTCAAATGATCTCACAATACCTTTTACAATTTTAATCTGAAACATGGAACTGTTTTTCAGAAGGTGTATGAAAGTTGTGATAAATTTTCAGTAAGTCATTACGGAATAGAGGTAGAGGTCAGGATTATATAACTTTCACGGCAATAAAGAAAAGAGCCTGTAAAATGTTATACAAAGGCAATTCTAACCCTCCTGCTCTGGAGAGACTGTATTTTGAATAAAACGTCCATATTTAAAAAAATGATTATGCTATTCTCTGTGTCTGAAATTTAAAGCCATTTTTACTTTTTGACTACCTGTACTTCCAAAAGCAATTTGCAGAAGGTAATTAAACTTAAAATTTAAATCATATGGGCATCATTTCCCTCAGTTTCAGAATAAACTCTAGAGGCTTTATGATCTGAATGGCAAGATTAAACATAAAAGCCATGAGGCAGAGTATTTCCTTACAACTGTATCCTCAGAACAATAAAGTATGAAAGACAAAAACTATGGTAATTGTATCCATAAGGTATAGTGCATTAGAGCTGTCCCAAATCCCTAAAGCATAGACTGCATTCTGTCTATTTAAGCAAGCTGACATGAAATTAAACTTGTAATCAGTCATGTGTAAGGGCATAAAATAAATGTAAAAATTTCCTATTTCTCAGAACAAAAGTTGTCTTTACCTTTAAAAACACACATTTACCTTTAATAAAGACAACATACTAATTAAGTAAAGAAATTTTATAATCTTTATAAATTATATCTCAGAGGTGCCACTAGTAAAAAACAACAAAGATAAATGGAGGTGCTTATCCATTAAAAAAGTAAATATAGTATAGCATTTTTCTCAGCATTATAATCTTTTATTCTGTTATTTTTAACATATTAATATTTGATTACCACTTTATAATTTATTACAAATGATACATTTCAAATTCACAGATCTCTTTGTCATTAAGAGGGAAAAGGCAAATTGTAAAGCAGGTTAACATACATACATGCTTATGCACCACATCTGTGGGACAGGAATAGTGCTTGTGGCTTTAAAAGTATTGCCTTGCTTTTCATAAGCCAGCCCAGGCTTTGAGCGGTGACTTTTGATCACTGATTGTAGATATGTGAACATGACGGTCCCCGAAGCACAGCTTGGGTAATAACAGCGGGACTCTGCTTACCAGAGACGGCCTGTCTCTTCTTCCCCTTTTGTCTGCTGTTGCCTAGAACCATCCTGTCCTCTCCATATCTGAATGAGAAGGTCTGTTTTTCCTACCTTGCTAGCAGATAAAGCTATTAGAAAACATCAATAAAGGAGTGTGCTTGCTTAGAGACCAAAAAGGAGAACAAGTGTGAGCTTGCCCTCATCACCGGGTGGATATAAAGGCAAGCTGGTCACCCATGACCAAGAGGAGAGGGAAAGGAGGAAGGAAGGGGAACTGAGGTTCAATAGCAGGAGATCCAGGCCCCCAGCTTGCCTGACTCCCATCTTTATCCCAGTCCTATTCATCTCTACCTGGCTTTCACTTTTTAGACCAGCAGTGAACAAGTACTTGCATAAGCTAAACAGTTGATCAATAGCAAAGTAGGGGTCTGTTTTCTATGTTGCTTCTTAATGTTAGTTTGTTTAAATTTAACAATGAAGAGTGAGCAAACTATATGTGTTATACATAGTTTTTTTCAACTAAAAGAAAACTAAATGCATGTAACTTGCATGCACTAATCATCTAAAACCAGAGGAAAAAAACTCAAGTTTCTGGTGAGATGGAGGCGCTGCAAGACACTTTATAAAATAGTATAAATGTTTTAGAGATGGCTCTTATGTTGTATGCACTTGTCACCTAAAGCTTTTGATGGTGAGAACAACAAATGTGATCGTGGTCCACTGGTGTATTTCTGCTGCTCCATCAGCACTTGGTACCATCTGGGGAGGTAACACAAAATAAATGTCCAGTCTGGAAGAAAGCCAACTTGCAGAAACACTGGCCTCTGTGTCAACCCTGAAAGTTTGAATTCTAAATAATGAATCATAAAATTCTGAACTGGAAAGAAGCTTAAAGATTCATTATACATTTAACTAACACTTATTTCCAAAATACCAATTTTGTAGTGGGAATGATTTCAAAAAAGCAATGAATTAGAAAGAGGCTACACAAACTTTTCTGTACCACAGCAAATTCAGGAAGAATAAATATGTTTATAGAACTTACAGTTAACATTAAAATTATTATACTTGTAAGGTTGGAGGCACCGGAGGGAGAGGTGAGCATGTCAGACACTGATGACGTGCCAAAGTCCCAGGCTGCTGCCCCCTCCCAACCTGAAAAATGTGCCTTAGGCTAGCTAATCCTCCCGCCGCTGTAAATCTATGCTCTGCCTCCCCCTACCTTCTTTACAAACTCCCCACCTGTCTAGTTGCGCGTGACTTCCCCGGCCTGTAACTAGCCAGACCAGGGAACATCGCCCGAGATTGCGCTCAAATAAACTACCTGGCCCTTTGTTGCCAGTCATTGCCTGCTTATTTCGGTTAGAATTTATCTTACAATACTGAGTCCTATGAAAAAACACACACATTTCTAATAAGACTGCTTACTTGATTTAATAGAAGTCATCACTACCTTCTGACCCCTAAAATTATCACCTGGGATGTTTAAGAGGTAGTAGCAATTTCATACATTTTCATTCTGAAAAGAGGTAACAAATAGGTGGGCCTCATTTCTTCTGTGGGTAGCAGAGTGTTTGGCACCAACCCAATTAATCCAGCTCATTCCGGAGAAGAGGAAGCCTATCTGTGGAGCTGAAGTCTCATCTCAGGCACTCAGCTGACATCCTCCTGGAGGAGAATTAACCTCCCATGCCCTCTGCATTTCTCCTTTATTTCAAAACCGATTTGCTTCTCCTTTCTGTTCGATTACTTCTCAATAAACACCATGAGAAAATGATGACTTCAAAATCCAGCTTCAACACTTAGGCCAAAGTAGTGAACAAGTCCAGGCAGTGATTCTGGTGGGGGCAGGGGGGCTGTGGGTAAAATTGAAACATTTCCAGAATATCTTACCTGGTTTTAGTGCATCTGCATATCAATAGGCATTCAGAGGTGGAGAGAAGTATGGCTTTAGTACATTTGCATCTTTCCTTAGGGGTGGAGAAGTTCATCTCCATATCTATGAGTGATTACCTGGGCAACAGAGGGCCTATGAGTACAGGAGAGGTGAGGGGGAGGGCCGGTGTTGTGGCTGCTTGAGGAAGAGAAGAAAGATGGCTGGAACTGCAGTTTGTGAGAAATAAACGGATTTTAAACTTTATTTCTCCCTTTGACTGATTTTGGTTTTTAGGGGCATTTTGCCCCGGGATTTCCTTTCCCCGGACTTACAGGGGCCAAACAAAATGGGGCAGGGGCTGTAGTATGAAACAAAGCAGCCATTTATCCTTCCAGCTTGTTTTGAGTCAAGTTATTTAACTTGATTTATAAATAGCATTAAAGAAAGGTCTGAAATTTTAATGTTTATTGAAGATGTCTGGGATTAAAGAGAGCTGAGAAATGCCAGGTTAAAGAAATTTCTATCCTTAACACAACAAAACACCCTCAGAAACAACTTGAGACCCATTAAAGGAGCCCAGCAAGGCCTGGCCTTTCTTTTACTCAATAACAATAACTCTGAATTGAAGGAATAAGTCATGCTGGGCACATCAGAGTTACCTTTCAAGGTTTTTCATTCATCTTTAAAGCTTTGATGTGCTCTCCAAGATGAGTAAAAAGGAAAAAAAGGAATCTGGAGCAAAAATGGTCACTCTGAAAGTCACAAAATCTAATTAACAGAAAAAGAATAAAATAACTTGAGGAAAAGCTAGGTATGGTC